CATGCTGGGTATCCCTCAGGATATTGCCGTCAGCCAGTCTGTTAAGGATGGCCTCTTTGATAATATTTTCCAAGAACTTTCCCAGGATAGAGGTCAGGCCGATAGGCCTGTAGTTTGCTGGATCTACTTTCCTCCCTTTCTTGAAGGTAGGCACCACAATGGCCTTCTTTCAATCTTCAGGCACTTCACCAGAGCAACAGGAGTTCTCTAAGATCCATGCCAGAGGCTGGGCTATGATGCTTGCTAGGTCCTTGAGTAACCTTGGGTGTGAACTGTCAGGGCCAGCTGACTTGAAGGTATCCAGCCTGTCAAGGTGTTTCTTCATAAGGTCAGCTTCGATGGAGGGCAAGGAATCTCCCTCACCCGGGCCTCCCTGACCCACAGTGGGCAGGGGTGTCCCATGAGACTGGTTAAAAACTGACTCAAAGTACCCATTGAGCAAGTTTGCTTTTTCATGGGCACCGGTTTAGCAGGGGTCCAATTTGCCCTTGCTTTTCCTCTGGCTCCCCACATATCTAAAAAAGGACTTTTTATTGTCCTTGATATTTGTAGCTAGCTGGAGTTCCATTGCAGCCTTGGCTTTCTTGGTTTGCTCCCTGCAGGTCTGGACTAAAGCAGAGTATTCCTCCTTGGCAGTGGTTCCAGTCCTCCATCCTTTGTAAGTCTTCCTTTTAAGATTCAGGAGGTCTGCCAGTTCCCTGGAGAGCCAAGCGGGCCACTGTGCCCTTTTGCTGCCTTTCCTCCGAGACGGGATGGACTTTGCTTGCGCATCCAGGATTGCTCCCTTAAGGAGCAGCCACTCATCCTGAACTCCCCTCCCCTTTGGGTTTTGGCCCTTTAGGGCCTCACTGACAAGCCTCCTTAGTTTGTCAAAGTCAGGTTTCCTGAAGTTGAGGACTTCTGTATTACTGACTGACTTGCCAGCTTTATGGCAGATGGTGAAGGTCATCAGCTCATGGTCACTGTCACCCAGCTTCCCTTTGATCAGTAGGTCACTGATTTGGTTGTCTCCGGTTGCCGGTACGAGGTCGAGCAGTGCTTTACCTCTGGTCAGCCCACAGACTTCCTGCATCGGATAGAGGTGATCCACACACAAGAGAAAGCTTTGCAACCTCTCGGATTTGGCTGAGTGCATCCACAAGATGTCTGGATAGTTAAAGTCTCTGTGACAACCATGCACAGGGAGCGCATGGCCTCAGCCAATTCCCTGGCAAACTCCTGGGCAAGGTCTTGACCCTGGGAAGGGGGTCTATAGTAGACAGATTATAATAAGAAAGAGATATCCTATCACTGGAACACAATAGGACATGCTATACTGTCATCTGACATGCTAAACCTAGTGCAATCTAAGCCAGGAAACAGCATCTTACAGGCTCTTCCAATAAAATGTGTAGTGACAGCTATATGGCTATGTCAGGCACAAAGGAAGTACCTCTTGCAAAACCACAGTGTGGGATGTGGTTGAAAATTCTACAGACATTAACTCAAATGATCAAATCCAAACCAAACTTTGGTATCTATTACTGGAAATCATATCATGGGCTAAGATTTTTCAAAAGCTCTGTTAAGACTGTGTACAGTGTTCTTTAAAATGTCTAATATATCATTTTGGCGTACCTTGGTATTATTTAATCAAACATCTGATGTATAACCTTATTTGCAGAATTTAGGGAGTCAGTGTCTATACAGCTCTACTTTACTTTCAAATGCCAAAGGAAAAGAAATAATGGTTTGAGCATTATTGTTCAAAAAATAATATGTATGTTATTTCATTTTTTTAAAGTGCTGTCTTAACTGCATATGTATATCCAGATGCAGTAGAAATTTGATGTAATAAAACAAATTGATGACTTAGTATATGACTACGCCATCAAAGGACCTTGCCTGGGAGTACTGCATCAAAGCATGGCAGACTTGTTCAATATGCTACATCCTGATACCAATGTAACATAGTCTCTAAGCACTACCCTAAGGTAGCTACATTGATTTAATAGATTTCATAGACATTAGGGCTGGAAGGGATCTCGTAAGATCAATGGGTCCAGCCCCCTGCCCAAGGGGCAGGAAGTCAGCTAGGGTCAAAGGATCCCAGCAAGATAAATGTCCAAATGTTTCTTGATAGTGTCCAGAGGAGGTGCTTGCACCACCTCTGGGGAGAGTTTGTTTCAGGCCTTGGGGGCTCAGACAATAAAGAAGTTTTTCCTTATGTCCAGCCTAAAACAGTCTTGCAGGAGTTTGTGACAGTTGGACCTTGTCATCCCCTGGGGTGCTCTGGTGAACAGGTGTTTTCCCATATCCTGATGCACACCCCTTATGTACATATAGGCTGCTACTAAGTCACCCCTGAGACTGCGCTTCTCCAAGCTGAAGAGGCCCATGGCTCACAGCCTCTCTTCATAAGGCCTCTTCTCTTGCCCTCTGGTCATGCGCATGGCTCTCCTCTGGACTCTTTCAAGCTTCTCCACATCCTTTCTAAATTGTGGAGCCCAGCATCCACAGTTGCATCAGTTTGGGGTGGAACATAACACAAAGCAGACATGGCATATTTCCCTGTTGTACTTCTTGGTGTACACCTTTAATAGTGTAGATATGTACATCAGACTAGCTTTCAATCCTATAGATCAGGGGTTTTCAACCTTTTCAAGTCTGCATACCCCCAGCAGCCGGTCGAGAAAGCAGGAGGCCCCTGGCAACCAGACGGGGGCCGGGGGGCAGTGGCAGCACCCACTGCCGAGTTTCCCCTGAGGCCATCTCAGGTACCCCCAGGAGTACACGTACTCCCAATTGAAAACCCCTGCGATGGATAATAAGTTTTTCTGCAAAACCCAAATTATGTCAACTTAGATCTGTTCCAAAACAAAATTTTACAATTCCCCACCCCACAATTTTCCTCCTATTCCCCCACAAATTTTGGAATTAATCGAAGAATCAAAATTGACCAACTGTTGGCCAGCTGCAGAACAGTAGAGGGAGCCAACATTGTTAAATG